AGAATAGAATAGAATAGAATAGAATAGAATAGAATAGAATAGAATAGTTGGAAGGGACTTTGGAGGTCTTCTCGTCCAAACCCCTGCCTAGGCAGGAAACCATTTCAGAGAAATGGTTATCCAATCTCTTCTTAAAAACTTCCAATGTTAAAGTATTCACAACTTCTGGAGGCAAGTTGTTCCACTGACTAATTGTTCTAACTGTCAGGAAATTTCTCCTTAGTTTTAAGTTGCTTCTCTCCTTGATCAGTTTCCACCCATTGCTTCTTCTCCCGCCTTCAGGTGCTTTGGAGAATAGCTTGACTCCCTCCCTGAGATATTGGAACACTGCTATCAAGGAACCCTGTTGGAGACAATATTAATCTTATTGCTTCTTCTCTGCCCCAAGTTGCTTGAATGTGGGCAAGATATCAACATGTAAAAAAATTCACAGCAAAACCCTCTTGGGAAGGGGCTGTTTGCAAAGGGCAAAGAATGGATTTAAGGTTGCTTTGGTGAAACTGACATTGTAAAGCACTGGCTGAAAAGAGGTTAACTCCTCATCTGTTCTCTGTGCCTTTTGTTGCCTCACTCCTCTGAAGAAGCAAACGTGAAGAACCTCAGGAACATTTGTTTATCTCACTCCTATTTGTGGCAAATCTGCAGATGGAGATGAGTAACTGAAGATGGGGCAACTGTGGCAATTTCTTGAAGGAAATTAACCCAAAGAAAGAGGAAGACGAACTTGCCCAAACAGACACCCGCCTCTCAGAGCTGTATTTGTAAGGAAGTTTCTTTTCAAACACCTTTTCCCTAGAACTCCATGGCTTGCTGCCTTCATACAGAAGAGGAAGAATCTGTTGTTGTTTCAAAATATACATGGTAAAGAGAACAGTTGGCTGAATTGTTCACATCCCAGTGACAGAATTCTCTTCTTTGCAGCATGAAAGGAAGCAAATGCTCCAATCATCAGAAGCTCAACCGGATTTAGATTTACCACCCTGCATGGGTTCACAGGAAGAAGTTTTACTGAATGTACTGGAACTTATTTTGGAGTAATTGTGTATAACGATTAACTTGAAAGGCTTACTATTTTGTGGGTTTGTCAAATTGAAAATAAAGCTAAAAGAGCTGCCAAGAACCTTATTTATTAAATGTTTATCTTGACTGTATTACTTTATAAGTAACTCAAGGTGCCAAACATAGCTAATACTCCATCCTCCTCCCATTTTCCACACAGTAACAACCTTGTGAGGTGAGTTGGGCTGAGAGAGAGTGATTGGCCCAAAATCACCCAGCCAGTTTTTTTTTTTTTGTACATAAGGCGGGACTAGAATTCAGAGTCTACTGATTTCTAGGCCAGAACCTTAAGTACTACACCAGATTGGCTCCATTTCAACTCTTAAAGATAAAATTTCACATTCAAGGCTCCAATTCAGAGGTGAGATTTCTAATTTCTTGAGCTCTGGTACAAAAGGTGTGATGTGAGTCCAACAAAAACAAAATCTGAAAAAGTCTTAGATGTTATGGCAAAAGCAAAGGCACTCCTGGTTTGTTTATACTGATGATCAGATAACTTCTTGGAGATGCAGAAGATTACAGGAGTGAGACAAATATCTTTCTGTCTCCACTACAGCAACAGAGCTAGGAAACTCAGCATGGCTGATAAGTGCCTTGAAATCTAGATAAAGATAAAACAAACAAACACAAAAAACAAATAAATATGGAAATGCCAAGGTAATTTGCTTGCATTTCAGTCTATTAATTTTTTTTTCCCTCAGAGTTTTGTTCCAGGAAATCAAACTAAGTTTATCTCCAAATGTGTCCATGTTAATTATAAATTGTTGATTAAAAAGGGGGCATTTAAAAGGAACTAAGGTCTAGAGGTTTGTTATAAATGTACTTTAATGCACTGTGATGCTCATCCTCCTAGGCATAAAGTCAAGTGTTGACTTCAATAAGCCTGGCTCCCAAGGGACCATGTGTTGAACTTTTACCATCAGTTGTGAACCAAAATTAAAAATTAAGCTAAACCTTCCAGTGGTAGGATTCTATTTTTTTTACTACTGGTTCTGTGGGTGAGGCTTGGTGAGCTTGGCAGGGGAAGGATACTGTAAAATCTCCAGTCAGAGGTGGTATTTGCCGGTTCTCCGAACTATTCAAAATTTCCGCTACCGGTTCTCCAGAACTGGTCAGAACCTGCTGAATACCACATCTGAAACCTTTCCCCCCCGCCACACACACATACACTAAATTCACTTTTAAATAAATTTAAATGATGTCCCTCTTTAATTTTAATCAAACATTGAATCACAGGTCTGCAATACTCAAAATGGCCACTTGGTGACAGCATAGAGTTAGGATTTTCTGAGCCAGATATAGGAGTCTATTTAAATTATTCATTAGCTTTACAATAAAGCCTTTCTCAAGTTGGTGATTTGTCTCTCTCTCTATATATATATATGGCAATAACATGGAAGTGGTTTGTTATGGAAAAAAGAGTGAAACGAATTTTACCCTCTCCGTCTTGGCCACGTACATAGTTGCTGTGCAGCTGACTTTGGATGAGTCTGCATAGTTGGTCCCATATCTGCATGGCTACAAATGAAAAAAGCTACATCACACTTTCGTTGTGGTAGGGAAAGTATGCAGAGTACAGCTTCTGGAATTATTTCCAACTCCTGAGTAGCTGCTCTGCCCTGTGTGACATCAATAGGAGGGAGGGGGCTTAGAATGGAGCGATCCGCAGCATTCCATGCCACTGCCCACCTTCAACTCCCAGCTGGATGGACTGACCAAAATGACACCACTTTTGGATTGGGCTGAAAAGAATTAAAAAGTACATCACCGTGGGAATAATAAAAAGATACAATATTGTCTAGAGAAAGTGAAAAAAATAGGGCTGGTTCTCTCCAACTTTGATTTCTGACTAGTCATTTAACGACTGTTTGAAGTTATTGACTGATCCTGAAAAAGGAGCTTACAGCCCAGATTCCAAGTTCTGGTGTCGGCCCTGCCATAGCATGTGGTCACATGACCACATTTTGGGGCACTCAATAACCAGCCCATATTTACAGTCGTTTGCAGTGCCTCAGGTTCCTGTGTCTGTGATTTACAATGTTTTTGCTGTGTTTACTTCTGGTTCCTGGCAAAACCTGACCCAAAGTGAAGAATCAGTTTGCTAGCAACCACCATTTTCATTCTACAACCTCTGCCTTTACTTAATGAGCATTGTGTTCATTTAATGACCACTTTGACTGTCATGGCTTATGGACTCAATTATGGTCGAGGATTTCCTTGTAGTGTCAATCTATATTAAAACCATCCATGACACGAATTAGCAGTAGATTTGGGAGGGACTAAAGGAAATACTGTTATTACCTGCTAGAATTTGCTATCTGGTTGGCCAGGAGCTAAAGGAATTTAAGCATGTCTCTGAAGGCTATTGAAAAACAACGCCCATGTATTGTGACTTTTCTGTACAATAGTATATATTTGGTCTAAGTCAGGGGTCTCCAATCTTGGCAACTTTAAGTCTTGTGGATTTCAACTTCCAGAATTCCTCAGCCAGCTTTGCCAAGTTGCCTGTCTAGGTGATTAAAGCACCAGGCTAGAATATCCTAGTGTCCCACTAGCCATGAAAACCAGCTGAGTGATTTGGGGTCAGCTGTTCTTTCTCAGCCCAAACTGTTTTACAAGGTTGTTGTCATGGGGAAAAGAAAAGGAGAAAGGCATATTAGATATGTTTGACATATTTAGTTACTTATTAAGCAACAAAGGTGTGATTTAAAAAAATATTTAAGAAATCTAAAAAGAAACATGCCGAAAAGAGGTAGCAGGAAAGGAATTCTTTCCAGAAACATTGACTGTAATGTCCACTGTAGAAATCATGAAGGCCAACTTAGTTTGTGTTTCATAATAAACAAGTTTGATCTAATAGTATATCTTGGGATAGATAATATACAACAGTATTCTCTCCTTTGAAACTCAAAGCTGAGCTGTTTACCCCATACACATATACTAGCATATATACCCGTACATACACCGATCAAGTGTTGTGTATGTAAAAAAATCACTGCAAATATGAAGAACTATATAATTTGAGCTTGCTTCTCATCCTTTCCTACACTTCGTTAGGGTTAAGAATTTAGCTCCTTGGATTCTTGGCACTTCTTTTCCAATTACCGGACTGCAGTAGCCCTTGTTTTATGTAATAGCTGGCTATTTATTCCACACCAAGATCGAGTCTTTGATTCCAAAACTTGGCCGCATTTCTTTAGTAGCAGGTTTCTCTGTCATCCTTATTGTCCCCTCCCTTCCAATGCTTGGAAAATTGTTGTGCACTCACACACGCTTGTGGTGCCATGGCTTCTGTTGCTAATTCCCATATACTTTTTTTTTTTTTTTTTTGTGGAGGGAGGGATATACCGAGTTGTGGCAGGCCAGCTGCTGATGAAATCAGGTTGAACTCATCACTGGCCCATGGCAAACCCAGCCATGCAGGTACTTCACACACCTTTGAAGGGTTGTGTTTCATGCAGTAAATTAAGTGGTGTCACTTCCCTCCAGCAAAAGCAGCTCTGGATACCATCCCAGTTTGGTCTCTTTCATGTATCCCCATTCTTTAAAACTATGTGCTTACTCAGCCACTTCAGTCTCTCTGTCTGTCTGTCTCTTTCCTCACCACCCCCCAAACCCCCCCTTTTTTTCAAGCCGTCTCCTGCTTCTGTCTCTTCTCTTGAGCTTCCTCCTCCCCTCCCTTGGCAGTCCCACCTCTCACCCTCTTCACCCCTCCTCTTGAGCTCCTCCCTCACAGCTAGTGGCTGGAAAACTTTTAAAAAGCTCTCTCAGTTCTTCAAGTTAAGGGTGAAGCAAAGAGGGGGTGATTGGGACGGGAGGGAGGGTGTGCTCTTTTCTTCTCCTCTAAAGGCCGCCTCAGCAGTTTTCTTCCAGGCAAAAGGGGAAAGAAGGACACCAGCCATCATCACCAGAGAAACAGACAGGAGACTTTAAAATTTAAATAGGCCGGTCTGAGTGCCTGAAATAGGCACTTGAGTTTTAACCTCTGAAGAACTGAAAAGCCGAAGTCCTTCTCTGCTAAGCAGGAAGGTAAGGACTGGGGGGGGGGGGGTAGAGTTTCATTTGGAGTTCATTTCAAACAAACTTTCTTAAAAGATGGTTACCTGTGATTGGAAAACTATATATGTAGTTTTATGTATATAATATATATAAAAGTTTATATACATACATAGATACTTTTAAATATGTATATATTATGAAATGCTTGGGTATGATTTTTAATGTTGCCCGGTAACAATTAGAGTTTCCTTTGATATTAATGGGTTTCTTGCCTTTTTCCAAACTTTTTTTTTTTTTTAATGCGACGGTACCTTTACCAGATTAACCAACTCCGGAGAAGCCATTTGTTGAACAGTTTAGGAGCTTAGCTTTCTCCCCAAATATAATTTTGTTTCAGTTTTCACCTTATTTACCGAAGGAGAAAGTTTTTGACTGTGTAACAAAAAAATTCTTTCTTTACAGCAAAACAGGCAGCCAACTTTGGGGAAAGGTACCCAACGGAGGCTGCAGCAATCTGCTGTAGTTTCTCGATTCCTTTTAAAGCTTCTCTAGAAATTTGAAATTACCATCACTTCTTCAATTCTCTCTCCCATTCCCTCCTCCCCCCCCCCCCCCCCCCCCCCCCCCCCCCCGCCATAAAGATGCACACGTACACACATTTTGTTTTCATATGGAAATGTGTGGTTCGTGTTTTCGGGTTCGTACCAAGCATGGTCCTTAATTGAGGCTTTGTTCAAACGCTGCTTCTGCTGCTGTTAACTACTAATCGGATGACTTTTTCACGTGGTCTCTCTCACCTCCACCTCCCTTCTCGTTAAGAGAAGCAAAAGTTGGAGAAGGGCTCCAAGCGGGGCTTGCGTGTTAACCACCTTGAATCCTAGGAAGCCCACAGGATCCGGGCGGCAGAATCGCTTCTGCCTTACTCCGTTGGCAGCTTTAAACCAAACTTTTTCCAGTTGCAACCTGAAAATTGTGCAAGACAGGCGTTCGGGGAATAGTAATCTCAGTGTGGCAAACTAGTTCCTGGGATCCCAGTACTCGCGGCTCACCACTGGAAAGAAGAGTCAGTGTCTATGTTCGCTGGGTTCCCCCCCACCCACCCTCCCCGCTTTTCCTGAAGGCAATTGTTTTATCCCTTCTAGTTAGCATTGGGAAAGTTTTTGGTCGCTAAGGAAGGCTGAAAACCAAAGCAGCCAATCTCGTTTTGTTGAACTCTTTTGCCCCTCTCTTATGCAGGTCTCCCCTCTTTCTTTATTTCTGCCCTAGGAGATTGGTCAGTCTGCTGTGCGTATAATTTTTTAAAAAACAGAAGAATTTTAGGAGAGATTTGTTGCCAGAGTTTTGTTAAAGCCAGCGAGGTCAACTGAACAAAGAGAATGAGTTTTCTTTCAGAAAACAGCTCATCTCTTTGGGGAGTGGGTCAAGAGGAGGTAGAGGAAGGGGCTCCCCTTCAGCCATGAAGCCAGGAGCTTCCAAAGTTTGAAAAACTCTTTTATAGCAGCTCTGGAGAGAATGGTGGGTGATAAATGTGATATGATAGCCTACAAATGAGAGATGCACTTCTGGAATTCCACAAGAAAGAAATTAGATGTGCTGTGTTTTTTTTAACAGAAATACACTTTTGATTCACGGGGATAAAGTTAGTTTAGGAAGAAGTGCTGTGTTGTGGCTGAGCATTTGATCTGGATGTGGGAAGATGCAACTCTAGGTCTAAACGAGGGATTTTGAAGTTGTAGTGATGAGATAAAATTGCCTTTAAGCTTTGAAGGGAAAAAAGAGATAGGATGGGAATAAAATTTTAGTGTTTTCAATGGGTAAAATAATTTTGCAAAAAACAAAACAAAACATCTAAAGTGAGTTGTTCCCATTTTATAGCTGGGTAAATGAGGCTCAAAAGATAAGTAACCTTAAGAGAATTTGGAGCTGAACTTAGTAGCTAAGATTGTGTTCAGTCAAACTTACTCCTTGGTATAACTTTAAAAATTGCAGCTTTAACTTCAATAACAGGAATTCCTATTTGTAACTCCTAAGTAATTTTTATTGCATCCAGTGAGATTTAATTTTGCAGTAAATGAGCTTGGAGTTTTTATATAGCATTGCAAATATAATGCAGATTTACTATGAATAAGTCTCTTTGAATGTTATGATTTAACCTTACATGTGTAGGTTAAGCTGCCTGTCAACCAGATGTGAGACATATCACACAAATATATACATAATGTGTATGTGCCTAACCAATTGACTGGACTATATTTTTTTCAAAGAACATTGTTACAGAAAATTACACAGCTGTAAAGAATAATTGTTCATGATGCCCAGCGTATTTTTCAAAACGTTGCATAGGTCTTAGTAGACATTAATCTTCAGCAAATGTGTGTAGTTTTAGCTATCAGGATATGATTTAGATATAATATATTATTAGGGCTTCGATATAAATTATTAGAATTATTACAGAATGATAATTATTAGAATTATTACTGCTACCAGATCTGGCTTGTAAAACTCCATATAACCACCAGATGGCAGTAATAATCTCTTAATATTGTGGAAAAGTTTTGTTGCTTGGTTTCTGTACTTTTTCTTTTTCACATTTCACAAAGATCCTCCAGGTAGTTTCTAAAATCATCGCCTCCCAATCCCATCTCACCCCCCAGCCCCAAAACCATGTTAGGCAGATTAGGCTGAGAATGGTGACTGGCTCTAGAGAGCACAATGAGCTTATGGCTGAGTAGGAATCTGAACTTGGGTTTCCCTGAGCCAAATCCACTTCTCTAACCATAACAGACTGGCTTAGCAATAATCCCATACATTAAGGTCCTTTCAGGTCTCTGCTGTAACTGGATTTGTACTCTTATTGCAGAGGCTTTTAGAAGGATTTCTTGGTTGTTTGGATTTTTAAAAGAAAACTAAGTAACTATCAGCTAAGGCATCCTCCAGTATGAAATTCCCTACTATCCATCTGTATTCAAAGACATCTGTATTTATATTCAACTTTTCCCTGTTAGTTAATTACTGGCCTTGTTTTGCTATTCTTTTGAGCAATTTATGATGCCTGTGGAAGATTATGTATGACACAGGTTCTTTTTCTAAATCATGCCCAATTCATATTTGTGTGTATGTATGTGTATGTATGTATATGTATACGTATATGTATATGTGTGTGTATATATGTGTGTGTGTGTGTATATATATATATATATATGTGTGTGTGTGTGTGTGTGTGTGTGTGTG